TTGGTACAGGGGATCAAACTCAGGACCTTGCGCTTGTGAGGCAGGTGGCAGAAACACTGAGCTAAATCCCCGGCCCCTGTTTGGTATTCTTTTAAGTATAGTTTTGAATCTAGAACATCATGTCATTATTTCAGAATTACTCAGCAGGGCTAAAGTCAACAAACACTACCTGAGAGTGATGTATGATATGGACCTTTGCAGCATTCACTATTTGTCTAGAAAGAAGCAATCACTTTTTGTGTGAATTTGAGCTCAACTCTGTGTTATTTACAAATATATAGCAAAGACTGGAAGAATCTATCTCATTCCATACTCTCTTTATCTCTCTCTTTGTTTCCCATGCCATGTCATGAACTCTTTCTCCTTTGCAATGCCCTTCTGCCATACCCTGAAGCTAGCCGACTATGGACTGAAGCCTCTATAAACTGTAAACCAAACAAAACCTTTCTGCCTTTAATTTGCAGGTCTCAGTGAGGAGAAAACAATTAAAACATCTAGTGAGAGCTTTAAAGATCGTTTAATTCACATCTCAACTAACTGCATTTCTATTAAACTTGTATTTGTATATTTTTAATCTATAAGATATTCAAGTGATTTCATTCTTTAAACAAATCAATATAGAGTATGATATTATAGTACTGCAAGTTGTTAAATTAAAGAAATCTGAATGAATGGTATATGGGAAAGACTGCATAAAATTTGGAACTGTAGTTTAAACTTTAAATTCTTTTACAACAAAAGTTAAATACTATGAAGAGATTAACTCTCGGGGAGAAGTGCTATGGCTTTTAACAGACAGAGGGGCTCTGCGATTAGCTGACGGACATGCAATAGGTTTGCTGTGGCATCTGAGACTCAGCACGGTGCCCTTTTCTCTCCACTGTGTTACCACTGAGAAGTGAACCTCTGCTTCATCTGCAGCTCCTTTCCTTCCACCTGTTGGTACAAGTCCAGAGATCTCACTTTAACTATTCTGCTTTTCTAAATCTAAAAGACAAACTGGCAAGAATGTAACTATGAAGCTCTGATGCAGCTCTCAAGGCAGAGGCTGGGAGACTCAGTCACCAAGCTCATAACCTTTTCACTCAATATCCAAGACCTGTACTGATCAACAGCACAGAGTGAGAGAAGGCACTATGAAATAAATGACAAATATGAAACATACACAGACATACTGGTCTGGGTTCACCTATGAATGATTATCTTTTCAATTAATTGGAGACTCTCCAACAAAGTGCTGGTTTTTTTTAAAAAGAAAATTCCAGAAGCATGAATATGCTGAATTATGATATTGGAGATCTCTGACTCAATCCAAGCTATCATGATTTGAAAATCAGGGCCAAACAAAAGAACACATGAAAATATTTTCATGCTTTCTATAAAAATATTTATTTCTAGCTCTGTGGACTATAGACAGAACTTTAGAATAAGCAATGAAAATGTAGCTCTTATGTAAAATCTTTATTTTTATTTATCTAAAGTAGACAGGAGATTCAGTCATGAAATTTACAGATTTTTTAGGTCAAGTTCCAGTATTTTCCACAGGTTATGCACAGGCACTATAGCTATAATGCTACATGAGCAAATATTCTATGTTCTTCAGGACATGAATCTTTACAGTGAGTTAATGCATGGAAAATTGCCCTTTTTTTGATTTACAATGTACATGTTTATGGCAAACAGTGTGCTTATTCGATACAGTATACAATATGTAGTGATGAAATAAAGACAACTGACATTTCTGTCTCCTTATATATTTGTGATTTTTTGTGTTGGGAATATTTGAACAAATATCAAATATATAACAAAGTACTGTGTACTATATTCATGCTAGGGTGTTGTATAACATGAGAATTTATTCCTCCTGTGGAGTTATCTTTTGGTACCTGTTATCCAACCTCCTCCTTTGTCTCCTCCCCCACCTTTTCTAATCCCTCCTGATGACTATTGTACCTTCGACTTCTACTAAAGCAATTTTTAAGCTTCCATATATGAGCAAGAACACACAGTATTTATCTTCCTGTGTCCGGATTATTTTACTCAACATGACACCCTTCAGTTCCACTCATGTTGCCACCATGACAGAATTTCATTCTTTCTTTTGATTGATATTCCACTGTGTTGTGAAAATAAAAGGAAAATGATACTGTAAGTAACTTTGGAAGAGCCTTACTAATGGAGCCAAGAGGCCACGGGAAACAGGGCTGTGCATGATTCCAGCTGCTGCCTGGGGTGTGGATTTTGGTCACCTCCACCCTTTCACTATATGCATCTGGAATGACTGGGCTTGGAAGCTCAAGATGGTCATCAAAGGGTTACCTGACCTCCCTTTTGTGGACTTTTACGTTCTGTTCAAACATTGTCTTTGTCTTCTATAGGTTACTCAGATCCTTTTCCTTTTTCAACATTAAACAGCCCATATGAGCTCACACTTTTCTTGCTTTACTCAGACACTGACTCATAGCTAGCTATCTAGACCTGTGTCTCTCAAATTGCAACTCCTAAGACCCCATAGAAAGTCTTTTTACTTTTGCAGCCTCTAAGATTGGACTGACATTCCATGCATACTTTATTTTCTTTATCCATTCATCCTTCAAAGGACACCATGGTTAATCCTATAACTTAGCTATTACAAATTGTGCTGCAATAATCATTAGCATGCAGATATCTCTTGGGTGTGATGATTTCATTTTATAAAAGTACATACCCAGTAATAGGACAGCTGGATTTTAAGGCAGTTCTAGTCTTAGTTTTCTGAGAAAATGAACTGTAAACTATGTTTTCTATAATAACTGTACTAACTTACATTCTCAAGTGTATGAAATTTCCCCTTTTCTACTTTCTTGCCGTGTGTGTGTGTGTGTGTGTGTGTGTGTGTGTGTGTGTGTGTGTTTGGGAGGCAGGCGGTAGCACCACTGAATCAAATCCCTAGCCCTGTTTTTTGTATTTTGATTATAGCAATTCTAACTGGAGTGAGATGATATCTCCTTGTGGTTTGCTTTGCTTTTATGATGCTTAATGATACTGAACCTTTTTCATACTTACTGGCCATTTGTATATCCTCTTTTGAGAACTGACTGTTGAGATCATTTGCCCATTTTTAAACTTGTTTTTTTTTTACTGTTTTATTCACAGTTTTCTTGGTTTGGGATCTTTTTCTTTAACTACAGATGATTTATTTTATTGCTTAAAACCAAATTAACCTAAGTTCTTCCCTCTTATATTTCCTGAATCTTCCAGGTAATGAAGAGCTTGTTCCATAGAAAACAAGGATACAAACAAACAAATCTGTATTGTATTTACAGTTCAGTTTCCTTTAAATAGAATTTTTTTTTGATTATAACACTAATTATTGTCTAGTTTTATAAGAAATTTGCTTCTACTAAGGAATGTAAGAAGGAAGGGAACTGACCCATTCATTCATTAGCTTGTTTGGAAAATGTTCTTATGTCCCAGACAGAGACAACACACTTAAGAGAACAAGAACTCTCCCAAAGAATCCTAAAAGGCAGGTTTTCTCTGGTGGCTTTGCCTCAAAGATTCCTGCTTCTATATCATACACAGGATCTAGCTGACAGGGAGTCAGGTAACTTAGGCATATAGAAACTGTGCTGATAACAGTTATGCTAGTACAATGTAGAACCTTTTGATGTTCTGTTTAACCTGGCAAATGTAGCCCTACTCTCTATGAGATTTTGCAGTGAAAATGTTTTCATTCCACAACCATTATTCTCTTCTTTTGGCCCAATTTATTTCCCCATATTCTCAAAGGCCTACAGGATTCTCAAAAAATGCTGTGGCCTTTGTAATCTGAGGATGCTTTTCCTACTACTGAGAATATTTCTTTAAGAGAACACAAGCTCCCAGATGGCTGTTGCTGTTTCAACAAAGTATGTATCTTGAGGTTGCATCATGGAAGAGGAGATGTGGCTCACGCGATGCATGCATACACATTTCCCTATGGTTGATGACTGCTATAAAAAAGTTGTGCAATGCTATGTATGGTCATTTGGTGATTTATGACTGGTTTTAGGGAAAAGAACCACCCAAAATAAAGAAAGCTAATATTCACTGACTTCTTCCTGATTATAATTATATCCTAGCTGTTACAACTGTATTTGTTTCAACACAACTGGTTTGTGTTTTGAGACAGAGTCTTGCTAAACTGCCCAGGTAAGGCTTGAATTTATAATCTGCTTGTTGTCATCTCAGCCTCCCAGAACGCTGGGATCACAGGTGTGTTTCACCACGCCTGATTTGAACATACTATTTTAAATGTGCTTTTCTTTAGTGAGTAAGGGATAGCTCTAGAATTGTTTTCAGGCTGTACCTCAGTTTCTTTTTTTCCTCTATAGTTGTTGGTAGTAAGTGCACAGCACCTTAGGGTTCTTCTCTGGTAAAGTTCCACACTTATGAATATTTCAAAAATAACATAAGTACATGGAATACCCAGAGAATGTAGTTCCAATATCACACCAACCCTAGTAACAGATAGCTTGTTAGATTAAAAAAAAATCTGTATTGGATTTACACTTCAGCTTCTCTTAGCTCTTTTCTTTTGGCTGGTCATTACACATTACTGATTAGTTCAACTACTTTATAGCTGGATAGGTTTGTAGCACCCCAAAATACAGCGGTAAACTTCTACTGCCAGAGAATGAACCCAAAGATCACAACTGCAAAACTGGCAACCTGTTACCCCAGAACCTTAGGTTTCTTAAGTCCTCAGAGAAAATTTTCTTTTGGTTTTATCTTCAATAATTCACCAACTGCTCTCAGCTTATGTATCATATTGTAACACTATCATTATTATTCAAAAGGAATCATGGCGGGCCAGGGATTTAGCTCAGTGATGCCACTGCCTGCCTCGCAAGCACAAGGTCCCAAGTTCAATCCCCAGTACCAAAAACAAACAAAAAACACAACCAAACGAATCATGGACCAACTGTACAGAGAAAGGTAATAGCCACTAATAAACGCAAACCAAAGCAGAAGCTTACCTTAGTTCCTTGAAGGGGTCTGCCCTGACATTAGGTGTTTCTATAGACTTAGGGAAAACTGTACCTTCAGCTCCTGCAAACAGAAGAAAGCAGAGGTCAGAGACATTGGAGGAATCACCTAGGGGCACAATCAGCACACTGATTGAAGCTGAATGTAGCAAATCCATTATACAACCCAATATGCACAAACCTTGGCACTGGCATGGGGCTTGTGTCAGGACAGCATTGAATCAACTTATCCAAACAGCCTTTGAAACAGGAGGAACATCTTTTGAAATGTTCTGAGATCAGATTGAGGCCATAAGGCAAATACTGATAAAATTAAAAAAAAAAAATTGAAAGAGGAAAAAAGGAAAAGAAAGGAATGAAGGAACCTAGAAATGGTAAGGTTTGACTCTTATCTATAACATGTCAACTAGAAATGTTTTAAAATGCAGCAACTGAAGGCCTCTCACTGCACACAACACCTATGATATCTAAGCAGTGTATTTGGCGGTTATTTTTGCCTAATGACAAGCAAATATACTTTTTAAATTTACTTTTTCAGTAAATAAAGTTCTACACTATTCTCTTTGGGAAAGTCAAGTAGAAAACAGAACATTATGAGGCATCATATGGAATTCAGTGCTTTTATACTTTGAGTACCAACATTGATCCCTGACCCAAGCTAGGCATTTAGCTCTTGACTGTGCTGTAAGCTTTTATCTTTACAACTTGTCAACACCAGCTGAACTTTTCCAGCCTTAAAAGATTGTGATTATCTGATTTATATACTCCCAAAGTGTTTTCAAATCTTTTAAATTTCAATTTATCACAGACAATTGCATTGGATATTAGTTTTCCAATTGAATTTAGCAGAAGCAGTATCCTGCATTCTAAAGTAGAGAAGTTTATTTTTATGCATTTAGTATACTTCTTTGATGCTGTCAGAATATCTTGTATTCATGTGCAATTTTCTAGAATCCTCTTGCACTGCTTATACTGTCTAGAAATCCTCCATTCATCACTATTACTCCAAATCTGTATTTATCCTGGCATAACGATGAGTCCAGGAAAATGAACAGGTTTCTTTACTTCTACAGTAAGTATAAAAATATTCACTCTTTTTGATAGGAGTAACAAACTTTTGCAAGTACAGTCGGAAAATAATGCTTCTACTTAATATTATGTATAGTCATTAAAGAAATATCTTGGTAACTTTATCTATGCTAACTTTTTGAATGACTACTATAGACTCCATCATATATATTAATAATGTACTAGTTCATTTATTTACTGTAACAACTCCACAACTGATAATTGCAGCAGGCATAGAGACATCCAGTTACTCAGAGTCTCCAAATAAACACAATAAAAAGTTTATAATTCCACATGATACAACTATTCTATCGACAACCAAAAATGCAATAATATTTTTCACAGACTCTCACCAATTTCAGCATTTAAAAAAATCCAACTCAAATTCTTCTCTGAGACTCAAGGCAAACTCTTAGTTGTGAACCTCTATAAAATTCATAAAGCAAATGACTTAATCCTGAGATACAGTAGTACAAGGTACAAGGTAAACATTCTCATTACAAAAGAGAGAAATGGGAAGATAGAATAGAACAAGTCCAAAGCAAGACCAAAACCTAGCAGTGTAACATTAAGTTCTGTATCCCCAGGTGCAGTCACTCGGGCACAGGGCTGTGAGTCCCAGAGAGCTTGGACATCCCCCCCACAATGGCCTCATGGTTGCAGCCCATATAACTTCTCTCTTGGGCTGGCTCCACTCATGGCCTGCAGCTTTTGAATGCAGATGTTCCACATTCCTGGCATCTCAGACTTCCTGGTGTCTCCACTAAACTTTTAGTTTCACTCTCACAGATTCACACACCCATCCACCTCTCAAGGGCACACTGCTTGGCCTTCAGGCCTCCCATCCAAATCTGGGTGGTACCTCCACAACTTCCATACCCTTGCATTCTGCATGCCTGAGCAAAGTGAAGGAAAACATGTGAAGGAAACAAAGGCCTGCTACTTAGTGAAGCAGTAGTTACGCCTCTGCAACCATGGCGGTGGCAGACTCTGAGTAACTGGATGGCTGAGCAAGGTGAAATAAAACCTGGGATATCAATTACCTAGATCATTTTTATCAAGCAGGTGGCAAAACTTTTGCATCCTTGAGCCTGTGATGAATGGTTCCTGCCAATGCCTGAGATGCTCTCAAGGCATCTTTCTTGTTGTACCTATTCAATCTATTTGTTTTTGCTTAACAGTGCTAATCTCTTTAAAAAACACACGACCTGTGGCCTATTTTCTGCTCTTTTTACCCCTAATTCTCACAACCAATCTTGCTGTAAGCAGTCAGCAATATCCATGCCATGTCCTGGATGTTGAGCTACCTTGACTTTTCCTCCACCCTTAATCTCAGCCTCCTGCACATCTACAGATTTCCAGGGCAGACTTTTCAGTCTTTCAGTGAAGACCCATCAGCTTCCTGATACAGACTCATGTGAGTCTGCATCATGTGAATGAAGGTCATCAGACCTTCGATTTTTGACTAGATCCTTGCAATCTCCAGCATGCAGATAGCCCCTTTGCATTCTTGCACACCTGACTCTGTGACTGGCCACTGTAAGCCTACCTTATAAATCCATATATTATCTGTTAGATCTGTTCCTGTAGTAACACTAACTGATAAACCAGCATCAAACTCTTCCCTGAAGTCTGTTCCAAAGGCTCCTGTACCACATGGTCAGATATGGTCACAGCAATGACCTCTCTTCTCTGGTACCAATTTTTGGTATTAGACAGCCTTCAAATTATGGACAAAATACCATACACTCACAATTTAAATGATGAGAGGTTTAATTGGGCTTAGGGTTTCAGAGGATTGAGTCTATGGTTAGCTGGCTTCCAAGTCAAAGCACAATGGTGAAAAGGTATGGTAGAGCAAAGCTTCTTAGTTTTTTGGGGTTGGGAAGCAGAGTAGGAAATCAGCACCCAAGAGGAAGGATTGACAGCCCCAAAATTATACCTGTAAGACCCACACAGACACATGAAGAAGTATACATCACTAATGCTCTAGGTGGCTTCCAAGCCAATCAAGTTGACAATTAAGCTTAACTATCACAGGGCTAAGTTCTACCATCCTTCTAAGCAACTCAAGGGAGAAATAGAGGAATTACGATTAAGTCATCTAACACACTATAGATGCTCACTAAAGCTTTGTGGAAATAAAATTGTATCCTTTGAACACCAGAGCTCAAGTTTTCAACTTTCTCTTCTCAACAAGCATATCTGCTGTGCTCTTGGCTAGAAGTGTACCTTGTTTTTTTGCTATATCCCAGCTGCCAAGTACATTGCCAGTATAAAGCAGACACTTAAGAAATATTTGAAAAAATGGAAACACTCCTTTTGCACTGAGCACACACTGCATGGAATTTTTATTTACCATGCAGACATTCACCCCATTTCTTCAGATAGATCATAAGTTCTGTGTGGACAGGAAAAGATCTTATGTAGACTACCCAGATTGACTTTAGGCTCCTCAGGCTTTTATTGGATTGATTTTGATCTGGTACTGCAAGTTCTACGAAAGTCCAAATTTACTTTTGTAAAACTTCCTATACTTTAAATGTGCAATATACTTTAAATGAGAACTCATAATCAAAATTCACCATATTATTTTAATTTTACCTATATGATTTAAAAAGCTATGCTAGTCTCCTGATAGCTTTTACCATGAATAGCTGTAGAATTTAGTCCAATACTTTATCTCCAACTAGTGACAGGATCATATGGCTTTTCCCTTTCCTCTGTTAAAATGATGACTTTTGGGGGTGGATCTTCCAATGCTGAACCAACATTGCCATCCCTATAATAAAACCACTTTCTACATACTGCCGGATCTGACTTCTAATAGTTTGTTTTGTTAAACAAATTCCTATCTATGTTCATACTTTTTTTTTGGTACCGGGGATCGAACTCCAGTCCTTGTGCTTGCACAGCAGGTGATGAAACCGCTGAGCTAAATCCCTGGCCCTGTTCATACGTTTTTCTTCTATTCTTTTTATCCAGTTTTGATATTAGCACAATGCTGATTTCCTAAAATGAGGGGAGAAGTGTTCCTTCTTTCTTCTGCTTTAATTGTTTCATATAATTTATCAGTTAAAATGTTTATGAGCCGCTGTTTTCATATAGGTAGGTTTTCAAGCTAGGAATATACTTTCTTTAATAGGTGCTATTCAAATTTTGTATTTCCTCCAGAGTCAGTTTTATTACTTTGTCTTCCAAGGTACTTCTTAGAAGTTGTCAAATTTATTTCAAGAAAGATTTTTGTAATATGCTTTCTACATCCTTTTAAATTCTGTAAAACCTGTGGTAATGTCCTCTAAATTTTGATATTGTAATTTAAAAGTTTATAATTGATATTGTGTAATAGGAAGGAAGAAAAAGTCTAAAGGAGTAGGGGAAGTGGGAGGGGTAGGAGAAAGGAAAGAAGGGAAAAGAAAAAATATGAGAAAAGAAAAAAAATGGACACAAAGTTTTTGCAAATAGGGAAGGGTGGCGGGGGTAAGGGGAGGGCAGGGAAAGGGGAAAAAAATAAGAACCAAGATTCTCATGTAAAGGAACAAGATCCCAATGATGAATGTAACTGTATTTTATACCTAAAATGTACCAATAAACTTAATGGGAAAAAAGCTATGCTAATAAAGAAATAATATTTGGGCTAAATAAAAATACTTCTTTAAACAAAAATGAATTCAAAATATTTGTAGTTTCCTCCTAGACCAAGGAACTGGCTTACCCTATACATATGACTGGGGTTAAAATGCGAATCTCACACACAGTCACAGATTCAGTGTGTGCTAGTGCAGAGATATACATACTGGCCTCTGACTCTGAAGCCCACTTTTAGCCACAGTGCTAGTCCCTTGTCTCCTCAATGCCAGGTCCATGAGGCAGCTGATGAATGGCAACGTGTTGGGTGGAAGTAAAGGTCAATTACGCTGATGCTCAGTTTCCTTCTCTGAAAAGAAGAAATATTCACCATACCTTTGTCTCCTGAAAGAGTTGGAAGATTGAATG